TCTTATTCCCCCTCTTACCACCACCTGACACAGCCCACTCACCTACCTGAAACATTCCTAACTTCCCTCCAACTGCACTGTTTTATTCTGAACTGCTTTTGTTGGTGTCTCCTCTACCCAAACTTTAAGTCTGCACTATGCGTTGGTAGCCTGCTAGTCACATGTCAGTACTGAGCACTTGAAATTAGGATAGTCTGTGAAATGTGCTGTAAAATAAAACACACATTGGATTTTGAAGCTTTAATATGGAAAAAGCACAATTTTGAAGTCTTAGTACAGACTCTGAAGCCTTACTCCATGTTGAAATATTCTAGGCATGCCGGGTTAAATAAAATGTTAATTTCATCTGTTTCATTTTACTTTCTCATGTAGCTACTAGAAAATGTAAGATGACATATATGGCACACAGTATTATTTCTACAGGGCAGTGCTACTAATGCAAGATGTACTCTGGGATTTGGACTTGCTCCTCCCTCAGCCTTGCCATCACGTAAGCAGTACCATTATCCATATTATGACTCATATTAGGGGCCTAGAGATACAGGTAACAGTATTTTCAGAGAATGGGAGTGACCACAGATGAGACCGAATTACTGGTGGGGCAAGCAAACAAATGGAGACTGAGCAAGACTGGTCCAGCAGTTCCGGTTTTCAGCTGCACGATAACCAAGCCCCATGGTAGGTGGCTTTGCGGAACTGACCCGTGCTGGGCGTTGAGGGCCACTGCTCATTTAGGTTTCTCCTTTCTCCCTTGAAATGTATGACTAGTTTAAACAACCTTCACCTGGCTCACTTAGCTTTTTTCCTCCCTGCATTTTTGGAAGACCATAGTTTGTGAGGTGAAGACTTAGCAGGCCCTGAAATTCTGTGGTAGGCAGTTAGACAGACCCGAGCAGAGCAAGGACAGTCACCCGGGCGGAAAGCCCCAGGTGCCTAGCAACGGGCAAAACTGGGAAAATAAGGACCTCACTCCCAGGATAAGCTTTCCTCCCCTTGTATATCGCTGGCCATTCAGTTTAGACCCCTGAGGGGTGGAACAAGGGGGCAATTAGTGACCTCATTAGACTCCCATGCAGGCCCTTGCACAACCACTCCCTTAAGCATTAACCCCTAGGGATAACATCTAGGCCTCAGTTGTGTTTCAGCTCCAGGCCCTGCACAACCAGACTGGGCTGACTCAGGACCAGTTACATTGACTAATGACCCCTGACACCCTCCTGAAAGGACACACCCAGAAAGCTGAATATTTTATTGAGATCCTCCTCCAGGCCGTCCCCTAAAATCCCGCCTTAAAGCCCTTAGGAAGGCGGACTCTCCCAAGAGCAAGCTGGTGCCTTTCCTCCGCTCCCCGCTTCCTCCCAGGCCAGTTACCTTCTCCCTCTCCCTCCTCAGCTCCAAGGCCCTTTCTTTGCCTCTTTAACTTGTTTCCTGAGCCCATTTCTTCTACCGCTTTCTTCCTCTGTGACTTCCTAATAGCCCTACCAGACTGCTGTACCGATTTTTAGGTAATTTCCACACAAAGGTGGAATATTGGCGCTAGATGAAAGGTAGACCTATTTTCTACAATGTCTCCAAGTTCCATCTTATTCTAACCACTTGTTTGCATGTAACTAACATTTTTCTATATCATGTTGGTTTTTTCTCTTTAATGCTCAGGAGCCCAGGTACAGGGGACAGTTAGGTTCAGGCTCAGGCCTGCCTAATTAAACTTTCTCGTATAGTTTGAGTCGTGGCTCTGAATCCTTTCTTAGCCAGAACGCAAGGAAGGAGGTTGTTGAACCAAGATCTAGTATGACTCCACCAGTGTAACACCCGGTGCCCTTCTCACCGCTGCCAACAATTCTAGTCAATCCCTGTGGTTTTAGAACACCAGCCCTGTCTCCCTACAGAGCGCGAATCTAACAACTATGCTGCCTCCCACCAAATATGGGTGGAAATAATGCCAATTACATCAGTTCAACAGAGCCAGAGATCTGGCACCAGGAAGAAACTTAGCCACAAAATCTGTTCCATTTGTTATCTAAGCAAGAAAACTGAAGTTGAGGAAGGTGAAAAACTTGATTCATTCAGCTCTTAAAACAAAAGAAAAACTCATTAAGTATCAAAGCTACTAACCATTCTATAAGCACTCCTTTCAAGACGTTGACCATCTTCTCCTCAGTCAGAAGATGCAGACGACCTTAAAAATGCTAACAAAAGGAAGACGATGACATACAATCCAAAAGCATCCACATTAATACACTTTGGAGATTCGCCTCTGAAATGAGGGAGAATATGAATAAACACCTAAGGCTGTGAAGACGGAGAGCTGACATTAAGAAAACAAACAGATATTCTGATCTTTCAGTAAAATTACACATCTACTGGGATATTAATGTCTAAACCTTACTTGCAAACAAGTTTACCAGTCAATCCTAATGAAAGCAAGCGGCTTACCGACACCGGTGTGTCCAACCCAGTTTTTAAAATTAAAACATTCGTTGAGCCCTAGTTGGTTTGACTCAGGGGATGGAGCGCGGCCTGCGGACTGAAGGGTCCCGGGTTTGACAAGGGTCCCGGCTCCAGCCCCAGTAGGGGACGTGCAGGAGGCAGCCCATCAATGATTCTCAACATTGATGTTTCTCTCTCTCCTTTCCTCTCTGAAATCAATAAAAATATATATTTTAAAAAGTAATAAACCATTAGTTGAAAGATATCTCTTCCCACCCAGGAGTATGATTTAAAAAAAAAAAAGATCCTGGGAGGCAGAAATCACAGGATGGTAGCTCCGAAAGAGGCCTTAAAATTATATCTTGAGTCCAATCATCTCATTTTACCGCTGAGACCGGGCCTTGGAAGAGATTAAGCAGTAGCTCCCCGTTCCCTCCCCAAAGGGTACAAGCCGGCTCTTCAGACTTGTGTTCATTTACCAAATAAATGACATTCCCAAGGATCTAAACTAAAAGGGAAAAAACCCAGCCCGTGCCCGCCAACCTAACCCTTAGCCTCCTACACCTGGTCCCGGGGCAATGCCCCCACAAAGGAAATTCACCT